AGATGAAAATTAGCTCGCTGTGAGAGAGAAAATTGACGATCTGCGTCTGAGAGTGAAAGTGGTGGGGGCATCCCAAAGACATTCTAACCTCACCTTGCGTTCTGCACACGCACACACAGTACAACGCAAACATTGGAGTAAAAATGATGCAAAGGTAACAACACCGGTTCCGACTGTGTGGGCTTCGTTTGACAAATACATGCACACACACATATGGACACTTGCACACACACGCACGCGCTCACACATACACACACTCGTACCAGTGTCTCTGGGCGGCACGCGAGTATGAAGTAGTAACAGCACAACAGCGGGGGAAAGGAGGGGGAGAGCACTGGCACAGTTCTCACCGCACAGTGCACCCACACAGGCGCAATATGAATGAATCTGGAGTGTGTTTGTGCGAGAGATTGCGGGGGTGGGGGAGAGCGGGCCGCATAGAAATAGCAAGGCGGTGCTAGATTAATCCTTCAAACGGCCGACAACAATCCGCCGCTCGACAAAACGATCAAAAGATCAAAAGCCTGAAAGGAGGCAAAGCTTTGCGCGCGCGTGCGGCCCGGTGCGTCACAGTGGGCCAGAAGGCCGGTGGCGGCGGTCAAAACCCCGGATGCGTTTTGAGCTCCAGAGTCGCTAAATGGGGCTCGAAGCGAACGTGTGACCCCACCAATGGATTGCTCTCCGAATGAGGAATCCAGTGGTGGGGTCACACGTTCGATTCGAGTCGTATTCAGCCACTCTGGAGCTCAAAACGCGCCGGTCTTCCGGCAAGTCCACTGTGCGGAGCGCGCTCTCGCGTCGAGTTGTCGTGACGTGCTCCGCGCGCTCCGCGCCGCTTCCTGGCCGACCGCATCCACGCCGTGTCCCTGGGCGAGTCCGTCGGCGAGGCCGTCGGCCGCCCCACTGGTTGAGGCAGCCCACTCGCACGGCACACTGCACACGAGGTGGTCGCTGCCGGACGAGGCGCTCCAGTCTCCAGTCTGGGCCGCGGGCTATGACGAGCAGCCCGCCGACTGGTCGCCAATAATTTCTCGTCCCGAGGCTGGCCGGGCTAGGGCCGGGCTGGCTGACTGGCCGAGGGGTGGACGACCTCGCGACGCCGCGGCGCCTCGCGGACTGTCGTGGGTTCGAGTACCGGCTCAGGCGCCCTTTTTCCCGCGCTTGCTCGGTCTCCATGTCAATGCGCCACCTCGACCGTTTGCTGTGACTTTTTCGACCAAAATGCTGGCTTGCTTCCCCGGGTTCAAATACCTGTTGGTTTCTTTTTCGCGGTCACGCGGTGCACCCAGCCAGCTGATGCAGAGAGAGACAGAGAGACAGAGAAAGAGGATGACCTTTCCGTGTGGGAGGAGCGGCAAGGCAGTCTGAATGTGTTGCGAATATGTTGGGATGCGACTACAGGGAAACTCGTGCCCTGCCGGTCCCGGCTCGGCACGGCTCGGCTGCCCCCCCCCCCCTTTCCAGGACGTGGCTCGCGTTTGCAAACGACGTCCGCAACCTTTGAGCAGGGCGGTGCATGTCGCGGCCCACACGTACGTCTCCGATCCCAATCCCGATCCCAGTGAATCCCGGTTCCGCGGCCTGGGTTCACCGCGTCCACACAAGGCACACTTTCCGGCCCGATTTGGACGCACCCGATTTCGCCTCCGACCGCGGTACCGCAGTTCCTCATGAGCCAGTCGTTAAGGATTTGTGACAAGCCGATCCCCGAGTCCGGTCAGCACACTGTCGTTGCTTCGCTGCCTCGTTACGCCACGCGCAGAGGCGTTTTCGTCGCAGTCTCGCTCGCACCTAGGCGGGACGCGCCGTGAGTGCGAGAGAGACAGAGCGACTCTCGGAATCCGTCTGCTGGTGAGCACACCGGGACTTACTTAGCATGGCGCGGCAGCAGGCCCGCTTGGTCAACCGAGGCGAAGGCGACCACAAAACGACCATGCTAGCCACGTAGCCGAGCGTACGCGCGCGCACTTGCCTTGCTGAACGCAGTGGAACGCACCCCTTTGGGCCCTTTGGCGGTCACCGCGCGGTCGCTAGTGGTCACTTGGTGCGGTCGGCGGCGCGCATGCGGCACGCGGGGTGCTTTCCAAATCGATGAGGCGATTGCAGCGGCCACCCAGGATGGCGAGGACGCCGAACGCCGAGGACGCCGCACAGTGGGCCAGAAGACCGACGGAGGCGGCCGAAACTCCAGACGCGTTTTGAGCTCCACTCGCTAAACAGGACTCGACTACCAGCCTCAAACAGCGTGGCTGGTGGCACAGACGCAGGGAGGTCCTAGGATGTGCCTCCGGGACCTCCAAGGTGTCCAGGACCCAGGACCGCGTCTGCGGAATTCACCCATCAAACTCCGGAAGAGAAACTCAGCGGGATAGACTCTCCTGGCCCGGCAGGGCCGCCTGGACCGCCACGGACAGGGACACTCAGCACCCCTCCCCCGTCGCGTCCTGGACGTCGCTGAAAACGTCCTTACCGGAAGGTTGGTTGACGAAACCCGTCGACGCGTGTCTTGGGTCCTAGCTCTACATTGAGTCCTTAGGGCGATAGTAAGAGTGAACGGCAGTTTGACACTCCAGGGACTGCGTAGCTAGTGTTGCCCGTTTTTCTCGCGCAGTGTAGTTGACGACCTGGTCAGGGAATTCCCTCCTCTGCTGCATTTTCCCTCCCCGGAGATCGAGAAACAAAAGCCCCACACACGGAAGCCTCCGCCCGCCCACTCGGGGTAAAAAGAGGAATCAAAACATTCCTCCTCACGCCGAGGAGGTAGGGCCCTATGTGCCGCGGACACCCCCCCCCCCTTCCCGCCCCGCGGTCCGGGCGAGCCGGGCGGCGGCGGATGGCTCTGATGCGCCCGGAGCCCGGAGCCCGGACCCACCGCACGCTCGGGGCAAGAGTCAAGAGATTATAGATTGAGAGTGCGAGTGGCGGTGGCGCGGCGCGGCCGAGGCACGCCGGGTCGACGAACCCGACCCACGAACCCGAACACTCGGATCGGCCCTTCGGTGCCCTTCGGCCCCGACGGTGGGGCCTTCGCGTTCTCCACCGGAAAGCCGACGGGGTGACGACTGCGGCGCCAGGGAAGGCCCGGACGGGTGGCGGGAAACGGCACCATCAAGTCAGTCGAACAATTCAATTAAAACCAAGCTAAGCTCCAACTGACGTAAAACGAAACGCAACCGTTAGCATAGCGTAATGAGTGCGGCCAAATTTTCAACACATCGCGGCTTGCATGCACTGCGAGCCGCGCTGCCCGTAATGCCTCCCATTTCCATTGCGTCAGGCAGCCAGGCGGCTGCGTCCGAGCGGCCGGCCTTTCCACTTTCCATCCGCCTCCCTCCAGCACAGTGGGCCAGAAGACCGGCGCCGGCGGCCGAAACTCCAGACGCGTTTTGAGCTCCAGAGTCGCTAAATGGGACTCGAACCGAACGTGTGACCCCACCAATGGACTGCTCTCCGAACGAGGAATCCATTGGTGGGGTCACACGTCCTGCTTAGCGACTCCGGAGCTCAAAACGCGTCGAGAGCTTTGACCGCCTCCACCGGTCTCGGCACTCCACACGCAGCCCGTCGCGTTCAACGCGTTGAAAGGACCTAAATGACTGGGCAGGCGGCACGGCCATTGGTGCATCCCGCACGGGCAATCCGTCATCGCGCTGGATTAATTCATTACTTCTCCCAGTGGAGGCGTCGGCCCCCTCAGCATGACTCAATGTTTGTACGTACTTTCGGGCGCGCCGCCATCGCCGTCTGCGCCCGGCTCGCCGAGACGTAACAGCTGTATTGGAGCACAAAGTCGGCCAGTGCGCACCCTCGGGTCGGTGTCGGAAAGGACCTAGGTTGGCAATACTCACTCAGTGCACGAGTGTCGAACGGGTTGCCAACCTCAGCCTGCCTGCTGGGCAACTTCTCGAGAGCGAAACGTTTCGAGGGTATTGCTGGGGTAGGCAACCCTTCCGACAGTGCTGCATCGTGGGACTCGAATCAAATCAAGGCTGCTATTGATACTGAAGCACCTCGGCGACGGCGCGGCGGCGGTGCGGCGACAGGTGACACGGTCCCCTGGGGGACCTGGGGGCGGCGGAGTGTTTTGTAAGGGCAGACGGCAAGTTATCGGGCCTGGTCGGAGTGGGCTCGGTCCCATCCAGTGCACTGTGAGGATGTCTGGCCATGGTCTGGCAGTGCGGGCCGGGCCCGGCGGGGCCTGTAAGCCTGTAATCAGATCCAACATTCTGTGGAGTCGTGATGCCGGCGGTCGTTCCCCCACGCCCTTCCCTTCGGGCATTCCCTTTCGTGGTCCTGGGGGCCCAGAGGCCCCAGAGGGCTGTCCGGAGGGCCCTAGGGCGCCGCCCGCCGCCCTTCCCCTCGGACGAGTCTCCTGGGCCCCCTGGGTCTGGCCCCCCGGGTCACTGCACTCGGATATCTAACAGCCGGTAAATGGTTTTCACTATAGTTGTTTGTTTAAGGAACGCGGCAGGACCCTTGTAGGGCCATTTCGAAGGCAGGGTCAGGTTGGTCGGGGTGGAGCCCGGAGCCGGCGGGGTGAATGATCCACCTGACGTAACGAGTGTTGCTTGTGTGGGGGGGGGGCTTGAACAGTCCCCAAAACTACCTGATGTTGGGCCCCCAGCTCCCTGTTACTCTCGGTCGTGACCACTTCAACAAAGCCCAATCAGCTGTCGCCCGGTGGACTTGTCGAAAAAAATAAAGCCGAACCCGATGACAACTTCTACAGCAATGTTTCACAAAAATGTCATGAAGGCAGTCGTCATGACTCCGTTGGTGCATCCATGTCAAAAGGGTTGCTTAAATGTCGAGCCGAGTCTGACGTCATCCCGACGCTCCCAGCGTTGGTGAAACAACATTCTGGCTGGATCCACTTCTTTGGCGCCACAGAAAGAAATAATGGCAGTGTCCTGCTGGTGGCGCCGGCAGGCTAGGCAACCCCTCCTACTGCCGTGCAAGATGGGTAGCTCTCTTCGCCAGGCGCCGCCCACCGCGCATGCGCGTCAACAGGTAAACAAAAACAAATGAGGAGAAGACAGCGTAGCCTCGACCAAAATTATGGTAGAACAACTGTCCGGAGTCACTGTCGTCATATTTATAGCATGTGGGGTACTAACGGTGATCCTCCTCTTCATATTCGCCAAGAGGCAAATCATGAGATTTGCCCTGCGGTCCCGAAGAGGTCCGCACGTAGCAGTAGGGCACGATGCAGATAAGGTTTGTAGGTTAAGTCTGCTTTCTTGCAAGTTGAAATTGCATTTGACAGCTGAATGGTTTGCTTCAATGCTGCTCCATAACGTCAGGATGAGTGCCAGTCGAAGAAGCATTCAATGGGAGCTTTTTTTTGACCTCTGCACTTGTGACTGTCACCTTAACACTGCTTATTTGTTTCAGGGTTTACGAATGGAAATGGAAAGACGACTAGATGTGATTCCTCGTATTGTTCATGAACCAAAACTAATTAACGAAGATGATACTAGGTACATTCTTCCTCCAGGTTCATTGTTTCCACCCTTTTATTATCGTCTCAAGGCAGTTGACGATGTAAAAACTCTTGGTATGTCTAATAACCTCGACCCAAAGGCCCCGAATTTTGACATTGTTCAATGTTTGATTTCCATTAATATCTCCAACTTTCAGAAGCAGAGATCTTAAAGCAAGATAGTTCAATGCACCGTCACCCCACTGAGAACTTACGAGCGTTCTTGCTGTCGTCTTTGGCTGCTCCACTTGATGGCTCTGGCCAGAAAATGGTTCATCAATTCTGTGATATGTACGAACATGCAAGGCATGACCCAGCTGATTTTGGAGATGAAGAATATCAAGCTTTTTCATGTCTTCTTGTGAAACTAATGGAAGCGTGAGTTTCATCTTGTTTAACCCTTCTAAGTGTTATCAAAAGATTGGTCTCTAAATTTTTGAGTTCTGTCTTTTACAGGGCAAAGCTACTTAAATCATTTCCAAACAGCAGGAAGACTAGTCCAAACCGAACACCTGTCCGCAGGGTGCCAGATCCTTCTAAGCCTCGAACTAATACTGTGGATGTGAAGTTACAGTTACGGGATGAAAATTTATCAAGACCAAGTACACTGACTGTTCCTGCAGGAGAAGGTGATAGCAGTGAGACTCCTGTATGACTCATTCTTCTTTATTGTTGGTGTTCATTCAATTATGTTTTAAATTTAAAAAATCGAGCTTGTTTTTGTGAAGATACTTTTATTGCATTTGCTTTTGTTCAGAAATTGTGCAAAGTTCTTTTTATTAATATTGTATTTATTCATAAACCTGTGATAATATGTTTAAGATTTACCTATGCACAGGAGTTAATGGTGATAAGTTTCTCATTACATAGAATTATGTCACATAGTTTGGCATCTTCAGTTCAAATCCAGTCATACATAGCAATTGCCACAGTTCATTGTATGAATTGGGGATGTATTTAATCAAAGTTCTTAGTAAAGATATTTTTTATTCCTGCTGGCCCTTTCCTTCTTACTGTGTGTAAATGCAGCTACTTTTTTAAGCAGTTTATAAAAGGATGCAAGCTAGATAAAATGTTATTTTACAATTGGGACTGTATAACGTAATGGTTGTTATTTTATTTTTGTCAAAATGGGTTCGTAATTTGGCAGACTTGTCAAAAGGAAGGCTTTACTCAACATTCATGCATCTGTGTACTTGCAGTGTGTTTTCACTTCAAATCCATTTTTTTAATACTGTGTCAAGTAGAATATCATCCTTAATGAAGCATTAATCAACCAATAATTGTGTTCAATTCACCTGACTGATGTGTGACCTTTCTCATGCATATTTGTTGTCCATTGTCAAGATCAAAGTGTGAGGATGACAAAAAAAAAAATATATAAAGCATGCATACTGAATGAGTTTTAATGATTTATAAAATATTCCTATGTACAAGTACAGACATTTAACATTAACAAAACTTTCAACAAGCCCTGGTCTCAGACATCTAAGAAAAAGCGAGAATAGATTGTGGTGGCTAGATCATGAGGATTGACTGGATTCCTTCAATTCCTCAGACTCTTTTAACTCTTCTTCCACTGCAGGTGCTTTTAATCTGTCTTCGGCTTGCTGCATTAGAATCTTCTTACGCTCACGCCAAGTCAGCTTTTTAGGCATAGGCGGTTCAGGCAATTCCGCTGCTCTCCGCTTCTCCCACGCATGAATGTATGAAGACGGGTGGATGGGAAGGAAACCAACCATACCTGCAATGCATAATCAGTGGTGAAGTAACTATTGCAATACCAACAAAATTTATATGAAACAGCAAAAACATAATACATACCCAACATAGCTGCAGCATCCTTTGACAGTTTGGCTCCTTCGCCAAGCCAAAACCGTATTCTCTCAAAATTACATGAGACCAGCTTTTCATTACGTTCATTTGGCAATGGATCGTAAGTTCCTAGCTGTTCTATACACTGTTCCCATTGCTCCACCATTTTCTAGTAAAAGTCAGATTTGGATTAGACACAGCAGCCACATCTCCGAAATGATGGGAGGAATGAATGAAACTAGTAGCTAAAGGTATCTGGAGGCGCAGACGGCAGACACTCACATCGGTCACCTGAAGATGGTAGAAAGGACGGTTGGCGCATCCTTTTCGAGAAAAACGAATGACCAGCTTTGGCACAGCTCTCAACGCTGCTCCACCAGAAGCTGGAAGCGGCATAGCTATGAACTACAGAAAGATTTTCTCAAAAGTTATCGTTAGTTCGTCCAAAACGGAGCACGGTTCTAGGAAGGTTATTGTTGACTAGCAGACGCCTCTCCCCTCTCAGTTTAGCCAACTCTTCAACAGCTTCGGAACCAGATTTTTGGGACAGCGGTTTTGTGCGGAACGCTGTTGGTAGATGTAAAATTTCAGAGATAAATAATGTTCTGAGTCCAAGTGTTACACATCAGGTCACATTTATTGGAAAAATCCTGTCAAAGAAAAATAATTGATCTGACTTAAGAACTTGTCATAACAGCAGGACTGAATTTTGCATACCACCCTCTAGTTTCGGTTTTGCCGAAGTTTGCCGAAGTTTGCCGATGCCGCTTCCGAATGTTTTGCCTGCCACTTGCCACAGCACAGCAGCCAGAACAACATTTGTTTTCGTTGTCCTCAAAGTGGAAGAGTTGATCAAAAATGACTTGATTTGTGTGTGAACGTCTTCACTCGAGATTGAAGAAGTACTCCTCATCTGCAGACAGATCATCTTTACCTGGTCGTATCCATTTTGCATAACGTACGTTCCTACAAATTTTAAAAACAATAAAGCGACTCTTAACCTTCCAAAATTTCAATGAATAAAATTTGCTCCTGGTAATTTTGTTGTGTGGAAATTTATGTTTTAAAAATACTGCTTTAACAATTGGAATATTCGCTCAACCACATCCCCAGGGGGCATGCTTCTAGGTTGAAATGTTGACCATGTTTCATCCATTGCACCTGTCACACTGACATATTGTTTCTTTATGCACAGGAATTGAGCTCCAAGATGGATATGGATGTGACATGTCCCCGTTGCAAAACGACCAAATACCGAAATCCATCTCTCAAGTTGATGGTAAATGTTTGTGGTCACGGACTATGCGAAAGTTGTGTCGAACTTCTATTCCTCAAAGGTAATAATTCATCAATGCTCCTTGCAGTTAATTACAAATCTATGGTTTCTCTTTTTAAGAATTTTATATTATAATTTATGTCCATTTGTGCATTCTTAACAGGCTCAGGAAACTGTCCAGAATGTGGGATTGCTCTGCGGAGGAGTAATTTCCGTGTTCAACTGTTCGAGGATTCCCAAGTGGAAAAGGAAGTTGACATTAGGCGGCGAGTTTTAAGAGACTTCAACAAGAAAGAGGAGGATTTTGCTTCTCTCAGAGAGTACAACGACTACTTGGAGGAAGTAGAGACCATAATTTTCAATCTTGTAAATAACATTGATCAACTGGAAACAAATAAAAAAATAGAGAAGTTCAAGAAAGAAAACAGGGAGCTGATCTTGAAAAACAAAGTTCGGGTGTGTAGTGTCAATTTAATTGGCTTATTCATTGTTCTTTCTTTTTTACTTGAAATATTTTCTTTCTAAATTAACTGTTTTTGTGGTAACAGGTGGGACGAGAAGAAGTTGAACTGGAACTAATGTTAGAACAAGAAGCAGCCCAAGAAGAGGCTAGACGAGCTCAGATTGCTCTAGAGGAAAAAGAAGAAAAGCGAAGGAAAATTCGGAACAAAGAGGCTCTCATTGATGAACTCATGTTTTCGAATGCCAATGCTCAGAGCATCCTCCAAACATTTGCGGAAAGTCGTGCCCAAGATGGCCCTGCCAAGCCTGCTTTGCCTTCAGCGCCTGTTGCCGCACGGGCTACCCAGTTCTCATCAGGAATCCAGATTGGACGTGGCAGTGGCCAAGTAGAATTCCTCCCAGTTCCTAGGATAGACGACACTCCGCTGTACCACTATGAAGCGCCACAGCGGCTGTTCGACGGTCCAGATCCTCCCTCAGGCCAGCAAGTCATTCAAGATGGTTACCTCAGCCACATCAGAGGGGCTTCAGAGGAAGAACGTGCAGGAGGCTACAGTTCTCACATTGGTTGTCTTAGAGCTCTGGAAGATGCCATGGCTGGTTTGTATTATAAGGCCAACCGTGGAGAGCCAGTCTTTTAACTGTATGTTATCGTATGCTGTTATGTATGTACATATTTACATTCTCCAAATAAAATAGTTTTTATTTGATCAATATTTGTTTCCATCCTATCTGTCAATCTACTTTCATTGTCAAAGCATGCTTATGGCACTTCTGTGCTTCAAAATTTTTAGCCACAGGACATGGGTGAAATACTAGAGAAGATAACACATGGATCTGTTGCAAAGTACTTTATTATGTTGGAAGATGTTTCTCTTGTGGATCAGCAGTAGAAACAACTAATAACAATAAGAATGAATTATCACATTCATCAAATACAAAGAAAAATAATCAAAGCATACAATGGAAATGTAATCAGCAATAAGTTTCAGTAGCAACATCAATCACTTATGCTACCAAATTCCCATGCCACTGAACTCCACACAAAATGCTACTCCTGACACTTAGCACAGAAAAACACCACTCTTTTTTTAAGTTTTTTTTTTAACTTTTTCAAGTAATGTATACTGTTTTTTTGTACTTTTTATATAGAATAAAATTGTTACTTAGTTCACTGGAGTTTCATAATGATGTTGCCTTGGAGTGAAAACTACCCTCTGCTTGAGAACAGTTGAATACTTTTGATGTTGAGCAAGCCATGCTGTGTTAAGCGCCAACCCCAAGCCTACACAGCCTATGAAATGACAAGACTTAAGACTCCAGCCAAACAAACACAGTCAGCGACAAATCTTAAAAGAGCAAGTGTGCTAGTTTTGCTGGAGGCCAGCCAGTCGTGGGAATTAAAAAATAATTATAAGAAAGGAACTTTTTTAACATGATATACAATGCTAACAATAGTTACGAAATACAAATTAACAGAATTATTAAGACTGGTCCAAAGCCACATTGCAGCCGTCAGCCGAAATGCTGGGGTGGCTGGCTATTTAGTCGGTCGTGTCTTGCGTGCTCGGATGCACTACGGCTTGGGTCCAGCTCCTGCACTAGGAATTCCCTGTCCCTGGCCGCCGGTCTGGCCGCCCCTGTATCCACCGCGGCCTCTGGAGTTGCCTCGGGGAGCGCCCCGCGGACCTGTGAGAGAGCAGTCCACGTTAAGTCACAACCAAACAAAGCCGCTGCTTGACCACATCAACGAGCAATATTCAAAAACCTACCTCCTCTGTCCATTCCCCCTCTGTTAGGCCTGGGTCGGTCCGCGCCGCCCCGTCCTCGGTAGCCGCCGCCTTGGCTGTCCTTGTTGTAGCCGTTCTGGTAGAAGTTGTTGCCGCCTTCGCTGCTGCTGTTGTTGTTGCGGTAGAAGGGCCGGTCGTTCTGGTAGGGCCGGTCGCTCTGGCCGCCGTTGCCGCCCCTGCCCCTGAAGCCGTTGTACTGGCCGCGCGGCTTGCCTCGGCCACGCTGCTCTCTGTCCCCGCGGTCTCTGTTGTTTCTCTGGGTCTGGTAACCACCTGGCAAACGGCAAAGAAAAGCCTCACTACCAGTCCAAGCACCACGGAGTCGACCAAGATCATCTCACTCACCATCATTATTGTTAGACCAGTCATTTTGATTTCCTTGCTGGTTGTTCCAGTCATCGTTAGTCTGGTTGTTCCAGTCATCATTTTCAGACCACTTGTTACTGATGGTCTGCTGGGCAGGCTGCGAGGATTGATCGGGTGACGATTCAACAGCATGATTCTCATTCTAAAACAAGACAGAAAATAAATTAAGATCAATTCAATATTAGGTAAGCAGTGAGCATTGCAGAAGCATCAACTCACCACATGATCGTTGCGTGGCTGATCATATCGGTCGGAATGAGGGCTGTACATCTGTTGCTGGTACATCACTGCTGGATTGCCAGCGTTTGGTGACACGGGTGCAATGTGAGGCTGAGGAATGGGCAAGTTAGCTTGGGGGTTGGGTGCATTGAAATTTTCACCAGGGAGCTGGTGAACAGGCTGCATGTGTGGGGGAGGCTGGTGCTGTGGTTGGTGGAACATGGGGACGGCAGATGCTGGTGGCGGGTTAACTTGAGGTGGAACGAAGCTCTGGTTGGTGAAAGTCTGTGTGGGGATGGCGGATGGAATAGCGTGAGCGGGCGGAGGTAGAGTAGGGTCAGGTGAATCCAGCTCAGACTCCTGGAAACATACCACTCATTAACAAATCTGCTAACACAGATGAAAACTCAGAAGCTATTGAAGATGAACAAACCTGAAGGAAGTTGAAGCTTCCGCTTGTGACTGAGTTGATCACATCATGTGGCCGGAGGGGAACAGGCACAGGGGGCTGTGTGGGAATTTGGTGTGGAGCAAGAACCGAAATAACTGCATCTGAAATTTGAAGAGAGGGTTGAACTAAAAAATCCGATGTTCTTGAAGTTTGGATCCTGCAAGGGCATTGATACATACCTGGAGGAGCCTGGAATGTAGGATTCACAACTTCAGGTACAGGAATAGGTTCTTCCACAGGAACGTCAGCCATCAATCCACCGTCAACAGCAACTTCAGCCTAAAAAATTGACGCAGTCATAAAATGTTGAACTAGGGCAAAAACACAGGCACAAATGTTGGGACAACTCACTTCCTCAGCTGGAGTTTCTGGGACGGGCTCTACAGCTGGCTTGTCAAAGTACCCACAGCCATGAACTGCACGGATCTTCTCTTTGAACACAGCATAGGTAACACCACCAAATTCCTTTGGCTTCCCATCGATGGCACTCAGGAAATGATCAGCGGCAGAAGCTATTTGCTCCTGAAACAAGACATGTCAGTGAGCGGAGGATAGTGCAGTAAAAGAGAGGAAGAAAAATCAATAAGGCATGCTTACATCAACGGTGGACTTGGCATCTTCATAAACCTTAGGGGTAACAGTCTCATAGAATGTATCAAACAATTGCAGGTCCGTGTCCGTTAACTGAATAGCACCATTCTGGCCACTCAAGAAGTCTTCCCGTACTGCATCAGTTCCAATTTGGTTAAGGGCGTTTTGAATAAGGAGGACATCCTTGATTCGGGACAAGTCATGGGCTTGCCGTTCAAGGGCATCCTTCCGAGCCTGCTTCTTGGCCAGTTTCGCAGCATCCGCTGAGATAGAATTGAATTGTTTGCAGAGGTCCCGGGCGAATTCCAGAGTTTGAATAACTTCCTCATATTTGGCGACGGCTGCTAGCTGTTCAGGCTGAAGTTCCTTGCCCTCTCGCTGGAGAGCACGGTATCCATCAAGCTTGCCCTGGAACAATCACAACAACCCGTGAGACAAACAGATCCACACCCTCATCGAGGAGCGCCGCTGACAACCGCCAAATTCGATGACTAACAGAAAGCTAGGGTTATGTCACTCTGAGCACCAACACTCGGTGTGACTAAGCCGGCCGACGTGGTGCCAGCCCCGAGGAACACCCCGTTCGAAACGCGAACACCGCCACACCGCAGCGGGCCGGGCCCGGTTCGATCCGGCCGGTTTCAAGGTTCCTGGAGACGACCCCGTCGAGTAGGAGTAGGCGCAGCGGAGCCTGACGGTGGCCTGGCCCTGCCGCCGCACGGTGGCGCAACCAAGACCAGGCAACCTGGAGTCCAGGGCCTCGGCCAGGCCTTGGCCGCGCCGCCCGTCGGTACAAGGACCTCGGCGTACACCCGCGACCGCGACAACGCCACCGGCCTTCGCGTTCCCTGCCGCGGGGCGGGACGGCGCGGACCGGACGAGCCTTTAGGCCTTTGTTGTGGTGCGCGGGGCCGGGGGCCTCGGGGCCCCAGCCCGCCACCCACGCCGGTGTGTTTGCAATCGGAAAGGGGTTCCCGACGGCCGCGGCTGCACCGGCCGGGCCAAGCGCGACGCGGTGGACAAAGTTAGAGCGCTTCGAGGCCACAAAGCGGATCGCTTGGCTTTCGGCGGCCGCTGAGCACATGGCTTAGCCAACATGGCGGCACGCCGCAGCGGCTGACAGTTACACGCCCCGTCCGCCGGCGCGGCCCTTCGCGCTCACCACCTACCTTCCTCTTCTCCAAGTTGCGGATTTTGTGCTCTATGATAATGATGGCCTGCCGTAGGGGGTCCGGCGGCGCCTCCGTAGAGGCCTGTTTGACTAATTTGGCTGACGACGCTGACGGCATCCTCACGCGAGCAACAACAAGACACGACTGGCTCCGCTCGCTCGCCGAAACGCACTTCGGAGCGACGCCGCCAGAGAGCGCGCGCCGCCAAGGCGAAACAAGTGACGGTGCGTCCTGGACATGGACAGCTCTGCACTTCCGGTTCCGAGACGAGATTCGGCTGTGGCGCGCTGGACGGTGCTGGACGGCGTTTCGGCAGTGCTTGTCACTGTCTTTCTCGGACTCCTGCGGGGGCACCGTGGTGCGAGAGGAACAGAGCGAAGAAGACAGAGCACGGCATCATCGTCTGCAGCCGTCGCCGTCGCTCTTTGGCAAGTTTATTTGTTTTCGGGCAGCGTTCACTGACGGCTGGTGTAAAGGGGAGGGGTGTTGCTTCATAGAGCTCGATTTAAAAAAAACGATTTTTATCGATTTTATTGAAGAAGTATTAAGTTACAAACAGAAGCTCAGAAACATGAGCAAGCTTGTCTTATCGTCGGCGACGAGGCAGACTCTCGGTGGCGGCTACTCGATGGTCAGGAAGAAGGTGTCCTTGGCCTTGTCGAGGTCCTTGGCGTCCTTGGCGTGGCCTTGGTGGCCGCTCTTGGACCGTAGTTGCTTCCGCCTCTGCTGCTTGCGCTTGGGCCCCAGGTAGGCGTGGCCCTGGTGGGCCTGGTGGCCCTGGTGGGCCTGGTGGCCCTGGTGGGCCTGGTGGCCCTGGTGGGCCTGGTGGCCCTGGTGGGCCTGGTGGCCCTGGTGGGCCTGGTGGCCCTGGTGGGCCTGGTGGCCCTGGTGGCCCTGGTGGGCCTGGCCCCGGCTGCCGTTACCCCCCAGGGGGCCCCGCGTGTGCGGGTAGCGCTTCCGCTCCCGCAAGGGGAGGGGGCGCGCGCGAACGGGCAGCTCCATGTCGTCCTCCCACACCCCCGGGCCGGGTGCCGCCCCCGCCGCCCCCGGGCCGGGGGGCGGCCTGCTCCTGGGGGCGGCGCCTGGCTGGTCGCGTGGCCGCCGCCCCCAAGGCCGCGGCGACTCAGGGCGGGCAGCGGGCCCTGGAAGAACGTGGTGTAGTTGACCAGGTACTCGCGCTCGTCGTCCGCCAGGTTGTCCAGGTCCAGGTCGAGGCCGCCGTCGAGCTCCAGGACGTCGTCCTGGTGGCCTGCCGCCGACGGCCGGGACAGCGTCACCGGGAACAGGTCCCCGGCTGTGGTGTCGTTGGCGGTCGGCGGCGAGGGCGACGGGCAGGGCGGCACGTCGCGACACCGCTCTTGCTCGTCGGGCCGCGTGTCCGGGTCGCACTCCGCGTCCGGCAGCGCCATGTCCTGGCGGCCGCGGACGACGCAGAGCACCGACCGGCGTCGCCCCACCGCGTCGCCGCACGTCGCAGTGCACACCTGCCAGGGGCCCGTCCACCACCTGGGGGCAGTCGGAACAAAGATGAGGAAGCCTGCCCGCGCCAAATCTCATCGCGCGCGTTGCAGCGGCGAACGGGAGCGCCTGGCGGCTAGGCCACCCAACGCGCGGCCGCGCGCAGCGGCACTGCCTAGCCGCGGCGCTGCAGGCCGGCCGGGCCGGGCGGGCTGTACTCACGTCGCCGGGCAGGCGTGGCTGGCGCACGTCCTGTTCTGGTCCGGCGGTCTGGGTCCGACCATCTCCTCGCACTCGCTGTCGGCGACCGCGTTGAAGGCCCCCTCGGGGCCCAGGGCCCCCATGGAGGCGGCGCACACGGCGCGCAGCTCCTGCCGGCCTCCCCCGCACGTGGCGGAACAGGCCGACCAGTCCGCCCAGCGCCACGACAGCGACGGCAGGACGGTGCCCGGCCGCCGCACAGTGTACTGGTACTTGAGGCCCGGGTTGCGCGCGCGCCCGCGGAAGATGACCTGCGAAGGGTTGCCGTTGCACACACCGGTGGAGGCGGCCCAAATTTCAGACGTGTTTCGAGCTCCAGAGTCGCTAAACAGGACTCGAACCGAGCGAGTGACCCCACCAATGGATTCCTCGTTCGGAGAGCAATCCATTGGTGGGGTCACACGTTCGGTTCGCTCTTGAGGCAGACAAACTCACGTAGATGAGGATGCCGTCGCGGAGGGGCCCGGGGATCCGCACGGTCTCCAGGTCGCCGACGCGCTCGTACAGCGCCGCCGTGCCGCCCACGTCGTACTCCCCCGGCAGGGTGATCTTCCTGCGGACGGGCAATCATCAGGCCTGTCTCTCTCGCGCCTCCACGCTCCACGAGCGCGAGAGAGACGGGCGGCGTACCTGCGGCCGTTGAGGTAGAAGGCGGGCTTGGACGTACTGCCGATGCCGATGAAGTTCCTGGACGCGGACACCTCCGCGATGAGCACGTTGCGCGCGCCGGGCGGCACCTGGAAGGCCTCGATGTAGCCTGCCGGACACCAACAACCATTTCACTCCGCGGCTTTCGTCGCTCTGTCTCTCTTGCACTCGACGGCCGTCCCGCAGGCCGCGGCGGCGCGAGAGAGAGGGAGAGAAGCTGGTGGCGTACCGTAGCCGTCGGGCCTGCTGTAGGTGCCGGACACCGTGTCGCACTGGCTGCCGTCCCCCCGGCACACGCCGCACCGGTCCTCCACCGCGTCCGAGTCCACCGTCCAGTCGCAGCCCACTTTCTGCGCGGCAACAACAAAAACAACATCAAAAAGCAAACAAAGTGAAGGCGCACCCCGGCGGGACTCGAACCCGCGCCACTCACCCGGCAGACCCGGCCGATGCACATGTCCCTGCGGCCCACGTTGCAGGGCGTGCCGTCCGCCACGGCGCCGCCCCACGGCACGATGACGGTGTCCTCGGAGTCGGAGCAGTACAGCTCGCACGGCTCGTCCGCGTCGAAGTACGGCAGCCACGTGTAGTTGGCGTAGTGGCCGTGGTAGGTGCGGTTGTTGTAGGCGGCGCACTGCACCGCGCGGAACGAGGGCGCGTCCTCGGGGCACGGCTACGCCGGTTCAAACAGGGCGCGTTTTTAGTCATCGACATAATGCTTGGCAACCAAGTCAGAATGAGAAAGAGTTTCTGCTTTGTTGTCACCTGCGTGTTGCAGACGCGGTACCGACGCCGCTCGCCCAGGCAGTAGGCGCCGCCGTGGCGGGGGGTGGGGTGGTCGCAGCGGCGCTCCAGGATGGAGACTCCGGCGCCGCAGGACCGCGAGCAGGGCCCCCACTCGCCCCACGACGACCAGCCGCCCGGCACGGGCTCGGCCAGCTCCGCCATCTCGGTGCACTGCTGGTCCTGGCACCACTGCACGCAAAAAACAATCACTTCGAAAAAAAATATTCTGCCCCAGGTGAGGCTCGAACTCACAACCCCGGCATTGCTCACGAACACTGTCCTATAAGTACCGTGCGCTAACCGATTGCGCCACTGGGGCCACTGCTTTGGACTCACTTTGTGTTTGCCGCAGGCCGTCCCCGGCGCCGCCGGCTGCAGCAGTGTGGTGCACTGGCCCTCCACCTCGCACCACAAACGCGTGCACACCTTGAAGACGGAGAGAAGACATTATCTACAACATCGGTCGGTTGGAGCGCCTGCCAGGAAGAGGGTAGGCAAGCCCGCCGAACAGGGCTGCCCGGCGGCGCGGCCCGCCCCCGCCTCGCAGGCGCTAGCCACATCGCTCCGTCCCTCTCGCACCCAAGAGGCGGCCCGCCAGAGCGAGAGAGAGAGAGATAGAGACCCACCTCCTCCGAGTCGGCGGGGCAGACGCCGGCCTCCTCGGTGCCGAACTGCAGGCGGCACTGGTGCTCCACGTCGTACATGGAGCCGGCCGGCATGTCGGGGTACTGGAAGCCGCCCAGGGTGGGCGCGTCGTCCAGGCACGCCCCCTTGCCGACGCTGCGCATGGATTCGATGGTTCAACGGTTCGACGCACAGTGGGCCAGAAGAACGGTGGAGGCGGCCGAAACCCCGGACGCGTTTTGAGCTCCAGAGTCGCTAAACAGGACTCGAAGCGAGCGTGTGACCCCACCAATGGATTCCTCGTTCGGAGAGCAATCCATTGGTGGGGTCACACGCTCGCTTCGAGTCCCATTCAGCGACTCTGGAGCTCTAAACGCGTCGCGGTGCCGCGGTGCCGCGGTGTCGCGGTGCACTCACTCGAGGAAGGCGGTGATGCTGCGCCGGCTGCAGGGGCTCCACGCCATGCGGTGGTTGTCCGCCTCGAAGGTGGGGGTCATGACGTGCAGCACGTTGTCCACCTTCCGGGGGCAGCCGGACGTCTCGGTGTCGTGCGCCATGCCGAAGCTGCGGCGCGAAAACAAATTAAACTCGGCCGTTTCTCATTTTGTGGCGGTGCTGCTGCATGGTGACGCACGCACTTGTGGCCCATCTCGTGGGCGATGGTGTGCGCCAGCACGATGCCGTTGTCCTGGTTCACGGAGCACGACCTGTCCGGCGTGCACATGCCGCCGACGTGGGCCACCCCCAGCGTGTTGCAGGGCGTGTCGCGCCGCGCGCAGATGTCAACCCTGCGGCGCGGAGAAGGAAGGAAGGTCAGAGGAAGTCCCTGGTTCGAATACCAACTTTTTTCTTGTTCTAGTGCACCTTGTGATGAGCACGGCGACGTCGTGGTGGTGGGGGTCCGCCTCGTCGGCCGGGTTGACCTGCGCGGCCCAGCGGCAGAAGGAGCCCAGCGTCCGGTCCGCGTTCACCGACGAGTTGAACGTGTCCTGCTCGTCCTGCAACACACAGCCGCGCACTGTCTCTCTCGCACCCCTAGCGCCACGAGTGTGCCAGAGACAGAGCCAAGTCTCTGCGTACCTGCGCCACCCACTCGTCCATCAGGATGATCCGGACCACGGCCACGTTGATGAGGTTCCCGATGGTGGGGTCGTGGTACATGGCCGAGACCTGAGGGGGGAAATTAAGCATTTTAACAGCGTAGGAGGAGGGCGAGGACAGCGGCCACTGCCCATGGCACTGACCATGGCACTGACCATGTTCATGATGGTGAGCAGGTACGTCTCGATGTCGCCGTCCTGGTGGAAGGCCGTCATGGACTGGTCGGCCACCAGGGTCACCTCCACGTGCTTCTCGTTGCTGATGGACCGCGGCTTCCTCCGAGGTCCCCGTCGACGCGGTCCTCGAGGCCCTGGCCGCGCGTCGTCGGCGTCCTGGCCGCGCCGCCTCTGCTGCACGGCGACGTCCGCACCGCGCCGCCACGCCAGGGACGACGTCTCGTTGCGGCGGGCGGGGTCTGCGGGCACGGCGTGCACAAACCACGTAACACAAACTGCACGACGCCGAGCCGGTGCGGCGCCGTCGCGCCAGTCGTACCTCTGGTGCCGCAGTCCTTCTCGTGCCTGCGGCGCCGCCGCCGCCCCCGCTGCCGCCGCCTCTGGCCGCGCCGCCGGCCGCCGCCCCCGCGGCGCTGGAACACCACGTGCGCCGAGGAGTTGGCCGCCTTGGGCCCGAGGGGCTCCAGCCAGTAGTCCGCCCCGGTGGTCTTCACGAACCCTACCTGGCGTCAAGGGGGGCGTTGGGGTTACACTCGAAACACTTTGGCGGTCCCAACGGGTCACTCACCAGCCCCTGTCCGCAGGCTGAGACGGCGACGCTGGAGCGCGGGTCGCCCTGGACCACGCCGCGGTAGTGGCAGGTGGTGACGCTGCGTCGGCGCCTCGAGGACCGCGTCGAAGGCGGCGTCCAGGGCAGCGAGCGCTTGTACCGGCCGCGGTCCACGCCGCGGTCCACGCGCAGCGCCGGCGCCAGGAAGGACGTGCTGGGCCACAGCAGCAGGCGTCGCGGCGCCCCGCCGTCCAGCAGCACGTCGTACTGCACGGCTGCCAAGGTCGCCAAGGCCACGGTCAAGGTCAACGCCAAGGTCAAGGTCACTGGCCCCAGTGGTGCAAAAGCCCGCCAGGTTCAAGGGTCGGAGCAGTGTTGCCACGCAAGCAGGCAAAAGGCCAGCGATGCACCAGTGTCGAAGGGTTGCCAACTTCAGGCTGTTTGCATTGGTTTGCATGTTGATGTTGGCCGCCCTGCGGACACTGGCACACCGGTGCAATTTGGGCCTGCTTATGTGGCAGCACTGGTGCGGAGGCACGGGCCTGGGCCTTTGAGGTCTGGCAGGCTCGCTGCAGCTCGAAGGCCCCAAGCTCCGCGAGCTCCGAGAAGCTCTCCAGCCTCACCAGGGTCATCGTGGGCGTCGGGCAGCCAGGTGCCGTGCTGCAGAGCGAGTCTCCGCGCTCTGCGCTGCCGGTGGTGCTGGTGGCCGTGGCCGTGGTGGTGCTCCAGGGCCTCGTCGTCCAGGGCCTCCCCCGCCACCACCTTCCTGGGGAACACCAGCCGGCCGCCGGGCACGGCGCCCGAGAACAGTCCTGGGGGAACGACCAAGTCAAAGACCGAACCAGTTTCTTCTTGTTTTCGTCTTGTTCTTAAGGAAAAGGCAGACAACTTATTCACGCTATTCGTAAAAACATAAAAGTGAATGGCTGAGAGTCGTTTTCGTCGCCCTGGCTCTCTCGCACGGCGGGGCGTCCCGCATGCGCGCGAGAGAGACAGAGCGACGAAAACGGCTCTCGGAATCAGTCTGCTGGCAGAGTTGCCAGGACAGACTAGCCCGCACCCGCTCGGCAGCTCGGCGCGGAGTGAGTCACCATCGGCGGGGCCGCACAGTGGGCCAGAAGACCGGTGCAGGCGGCTAAAACACCGGACGCGTTTTGAGCTCCAGAGTCACTGAACAGGACTCGAACCGAGCGTGTGACCCCACCAATGGATTCCTCGTTCGGAGAGCAGTCCATTGGCGGAGTCACACGTTCGGTTCGAGTCCCATTTAGCGACTCTGGAGCTCAAAACGCGTCCGGCGTTTCGACCGCCTCCACCGGTCTTCTGGTCCACTGTGGGCCGCCAGCAGAGCGACTCCGAACTCCGCTTTCATCGCCGTCTCTCTCGCACAGCTTCCAAACGCTTGCCGCCACCGATTTTTCACCCGGCATTTATTTTCGTAAAACACGTTTTCATTTTTCCTCGCGACGATTTTCGATCTTTTTTTCGCGCGTCTCAATAATTGTCGCACCTTTTCCTCGCCATGCCAGTTGGCTGTAGCAGTTCCGTTCCACGCACACGCATGCACACAAACGCCCGCACACAGCCACACGTGCGCACACAGGCACACACACACGCACACACTCACACGCCTATTACGCGATGGGATTGAGTGGACGTTATGCTGCTAGATAACATCAGGATCTCCGGCTTCTAATTACTAGTGTAGCAGCACCAACAACAACAGCGACAGCAGCAACAACAGCGGCACCTTTTGACGGTAAAGGACAAGGCAGTCATTGGCGGAAAATTTTCGAAGTAATCCGCGCCGCGCGCATGCATGAATGAGTGGGGAATCGATTGGGGGGAGGGGGGGGGGCGTCGGGGCCGACCGGCCCAGCCAAAGTGGTCCCGAGACAGACTCTCTTGCAGGCAAACTTTCAACACAAAGTAGCGCCAGCTTTGTTGGGGTGGTCGCGGTTTTGGCGACCCGATGAGTTTTAGAGTGGGTGGGTCAATGTTTTTCGGGCAGCGGCAGGGCAGAAGTTCGCAGTGAAAGTTGAGCAGGATGAACGACAGCGTCCCCACAGTGTCCCCAAAGTGTCCCCACAGCGTCCCCACAGCGTCCCCACAGCGTCCCCACAGCGTCCCCACAGCGTCCCCACAGCGTCCCCACAGCGTCCCCACAGTGTCCCCACACGTGCAGAGGGTGCGAAGCTCGGCGCGAAGCCCCATGGAAACAGCCGAAACAATTTGAGCACAGCAACAAGCTGGCAAGCTGCCTGTCACCGACACTGTACGAGTGCATTAGTGTTGCCCGGTGTTGCAAAGTCAAGCCGATTCGAGCGGGAAAACGACAACGGCCACTTCTCATTTCCTCCTCCTGGAAAAACCGCAGATCGCGCCGTCTCCCTCGCACCCCTGCGGGGCACTGCATGCGCCCCGTGAGTGCGAGAGAGACGGAGCCACTCGCGAGCAGCGGCCCCAGGCCCGCCCGGTGCTCTGGAACGGAGGGGATCGGAGAGGATATACTTAGCGAGTAGCTAGCTGGCGGGAGAGTGAATCAGATATGGCTCGCTGCCATTGGCTGGGCGTGAGATCATCCTTCGGGGCGCGGGCTGCCATTGGCTGGGCGTGAGGTCATCTCTCGAGGGGCGGCCTGCGATTGGCCGGGGCCCAGCCGACGGCCAAACACTCCGTAAACACCGGGTACTGCTCTAATAGCAGCGTAGCAGCGTGTTGGCTTCCGAAGTTATTACCCACCCGGTCGCCCCGTTCGGACGCCTCCTTCCGCGTAATTAATTTCAAATTGGCCAGTCTGTCTCTCTCGCACTCGCGGCCAGCCCCGTGAGTGGGAGAGAGACAGAGCGACGAAAGCACACTGTTCGGGAGCGCCCTGTTCCTCTGGCGCGCCGGAAGGCCTCGGTAGCCGCCTTAGCCGTGTACCGCGTCTGTACACCGTACACCGGTGCCGCTCCAGAGTCGCTAAATGGGACTCGAACCGAGCGTGTGACCCCACCAATGGATTCCTCGTTCGGAGAGCAATCCATTGGTGGGGTCACACGTTCGGTTTGAGTCCCATTTAGCGACTCTGGAGCTCAAAACGCGTCTAGAGGTTTGGCCGCCTCCACCGGTCTTCTGGCCCACTGCGCGGCGCCTCGGTGCAGCGCGGCAAACACAGCGCCAAAACTCTTGTTGAACTTTGCACTTTGCCGTGGCGAGGCAATGAGGCGGACGGACGGACGGACAGACGGACGGACAAACAGAGAAACAGGCGGGCGGCGAGGTGGGCGCCAAACGCGCCAAAATAAAAAGCAGACGAACCCACTCAAGTTTTGACAGAAAAGGTCGCCACCCATCCATCCATCTATACGTCGATTCGTCCACCTGCTCAGAGTCCACGGGCAGAGTCCTCCAACGCAGCCTCCCTCTCCCTCGCTCCTACTCCCACTCCTTCGCGGCAGTGTCTGCACCACTTCTGCAGCAGCTGCTCTTCGAGTGTGGCGGCTGACCTGTCCGCTCGCATCCTCGCCGCTCTGCCGCATAGTTTGTCTTGTATGTGGGTGCACTGCCAGGATGCCTTGCAGGATGCCCGGAGTGGCACCTACACTGTGTGACCTCCCTCCGCCTTGGCGCCGCACAGTGGACTTGCCGGAAGACCGGTGGAGGCGGCCAGAGACGCGTTTTGAGCTCCAGAGTCGCTAAATGGGACTCCGGAGCGTGTGACCCCACCAATGGATTCCTCGTTCGGAGAGCAATCCATTGGTGGGGTCACACGTTCGGTTAGAGTCCCACTTAGCGACTCTGGAGCTCAAAACGCGTCTAAACCTCGAGGTTTGGCTGCCCCCGAGGCAGGGCCATGCGGCAGGGCCATGGGGCAGGACGAGAGGAGACGGCGAGACAGAGCATTCCTCGGTAATGGGATAATGAGTAGGGATCGGGTGAAGAGAGGTGGCTGGCTAAAGCATGGCTCAAGCACGGCTAAACCTCAGCCAGCCAAAGCCAGCCAAAGCCAGCCAAAGCCAGCCAAACGCGAACAAGACGTCAAAAGGACTCAACACGCCACGCGTGGCGTGGCGGCGTGGCATGGCGTGGCACACACGCACGCGAGGTCAAAGGCCCGGGACCGGTACGCGGCGGCAGCGGCAGCAGCGCGCACGTCCATCAATACACGCACGTGTCTCCCTTTTCGACCGTTTTACTCTTTTTTTCACTTTGCGCTGTGGGCCAGAGGGCCGGTGGAGGCGGCCGAAACTCCAGACGCGTTTTGAGCTCCAGAGTCGCTAAATGGGACTCGAACCGAACGTGTGACCCCACCAATGGATTCCTCGTTCGGAGAGCAATCCATTGGTGGGGTCACACGTTCGGTTCGAGTCCCGGTTAGCGACTCTGGAGCTCAAAACGCGCCTAGAGTTTCGGCCGCCTCCACCGGTCTTCTGGCAAATCCACTGTGCGTTTTGCCGCCTTACCGTGGTGTTGTGACAGCGTGGGTGCCACCAAGAGTGCCGCCAGGATCAGGGGCGTTCTCAGGGGGGTCATCCTGAAGCATAGCGCGCAGAGGCCGGCGCGACGGCGGCACCACCTGTAGAGGAGGAAGCAGAACGGAGACGTGAACACAACGGGCCCTGTCGCTCTCGCACCTCCCATGAGTGCGAGAGAGACAGAGCGACGAAAATGACTTTCGGATCCGAAGTTTCCCGGCTCCGTGCGAATTGGAAGTGCGCTCCGATAGGCGGCACGCACACAGCGACGATCGAGACAGAGACAGAGAGACGGAGAAAAAAGGTGTGACATTTTGGATGGCCTGAATACAGACGGCCGTGACGGCCCCCAAGCAAGGAGCCGCTCCCTGACATCTTTATTCCTGCATCCTTGTGATCCTTGTACGCCTCGCGCGGCCGCGGAGGCAAAGAAAAAAAAACACACCCACAACGCGCTGCCGTGCATTCAAGTTTCCCGCCCTGCGGCCCAGGGAGGGATTGGCAACTACACCGCAAAGGCGCCTTGAATGTTCAAGTCGTACCGGCTGGCTAGGCACCACCAGCTCTAGCGCCTGCGAAGGAATGGATAGGCCACCCTGCTACCGTGTGCTACACTGCAGCAAGAGGGCTGCCTACCCGCCAGGCGATCTCCGCCCAGCGAGCCCAGCCACTGGCTTCGCTGTCTTGGGTTGAGCCCAACCAGGCACTGTCTTAGGTGGCTCGAAGACTGGCGGACGGGACGGATAGACACCGCGGCTGAGAACGCACAATGGAATACGAAAGATTCAGGACAATACTGGGCAGGTGTGGGAACGTGGACCTTGCCGTCGGCCGGGCGCCACCAAGAGGTGACCACAAGGCCGTGCCCTGCCGATACAGCGCCCTGTTCGAACAGGCGGCCGGGCAGACAGACAGACAGACAGACAGACAGACAGACAGACATGCAGGCAGACGGACAGACACACAGACAGACAGACATGCAGGCAGGCAGACAGACAGACACACAGACAGGCAGGCAGGCAGACAGACAGACACACAGACAGACGGTCGGACTGACTGGCCATTTGTTCGCCGCTCGTCTCCGTTCTGCTCGCCTTCAAAAGGGGCTGTATCGCGTTACTGACGAACGACCCGGCGCTCTAGCCAGCGCTAGCGCAGCGTCTGGTGTCCGGCGTCCAGTATCCAGTGTCTGACGCGCTGCGACAAATACGCCGATAAATAACGAAAAGTGCGCGATTGTAGAACGGAGCGAAGTTGGAGCTGGCTCGCGGTGGCGGAGGCGGCCCGCCCTGCCGTTTTTCCGCAGGGTACTTCAGGAACTGGTCCGAGCGGGGCGGGCAGTGGCCAATGCGAGGCTGGCGCGGCCCGGGGAGGGGAGGGGGGATGCACCGTGCAAATACAAAGAAAAGAAAATGCAGCGTTTAAGGGAAGCGTAACGGTGTTCGGGAACAGAGGACAGCCTGGGACAGAGCAAGAGCATGAGGGATCGTCCGCGCGTCCGCGTCGCCGGGCCGGGCCGGGCCGCCTTGACCGGTCGGTCCCGCCAGGCCCGCCCACTGCCTCGTCTTGCCCACCAGGACGACGACGACGCGCAAGGGGCCACACAGTGCAGGTGCAGAGCACACACACACACTCACACGCACGCAGCTCGAGCGCTTGGGGCGACAGACGCGCGCAGGCCGCAGGGTCCGGCGGCGCGGCTGCATTCCCCCGCGCTAGTTATTGGCGAACCGCGGATGATTACGGGTAATAAATACCGTCGCGACTGCACAGTGGCGCATCCGAAGCGAGCCGAAGCTCACCGAGGCAAGGCCTGTGACGAGTTCGGCGCTTCGGGGCGGTGCGATGGTGGGGTGGGGGTGGGACCAGCCCGAGGGAAGTCCCAGGGAGGGCTGCTGCCTTCGAAGAGCCTCCTCGGCGCGCTGACCCTGAACTTGGCGACACTTCGCGGCGCTCCATCCTGGTGCCGCCCCTCCCCCCCTCCCTCGCAGTCTCCATCCTGGATAGTAGGTCACGATTCTGCGAGCGTGCGGCTCGGCGTGCGCGCCACGGATCACACGGAGTGGCACGAGACTGCCGAGCGATTCCAAAGAATCGCTTCTTCGCTCCGTCTCTCTCCCTCTCGCAGGCTCAGCCCGGTAGCACTCACTTTTTCTCCTTAAATATTAAATTTTTTTTTTTGACATTTGTTTTAATAAAAAAAAACCGTATTGAGCAATTGCTAAGCAGTGCTTCAAAATAGTTTGCCGCCAGAAAAGCGCGTGCCTCGTCTGACGATGACCGGCTGAGAGTGCAGCCCTCCGCCACGCCCCGCGAGTGCGAGAGAGACAGAGCGACGGACGGGACGGACTCTTGGGGCCCGGCCCGGCCCAGCCTGCAGGTGTGGGAGTGGCCAGCGCAGCCTCGGCGCAGCCAGCGAGTGGTCATTCAGCCAGTGTGGGCCGGTCATTGTCAACAGCCTCCAAAGTTACCCGCGCGGACAGTCTGCCTCTCTCGCACCCTGAAGACTTGTCTGGAGTTTTGTCCGCCTCCACCGGTCTTCTGGCCCTGCTACGTACCGCTGTTCCGTGCAGTGCGCCGGCTTTCGGCCCCTGGCTCCTTGTGCGGCGCCTGTGCCCGCTGCCGCTGCGCCCCACCCCCTCTCCGAGACACCGAGACGACGCCGACGACACCCCGGGGCGGCCGCGAGCGCGAGACTTCCTGCTCCGGTCGACGGCCCATCACCCGGCGCTAGGCGGAGCGCGGAGCGCAGAGCTACGCCGCGGGACGCATCGGTCTGACCGCCGAGACTGAGACTGACAGGATGGGATGCACCAGGCGGACCAGGCGCGCGGCGAGTCTTGGCCGACGCCGGGATGCGACGCGAACCAAGCCGCGAACCGCGAGACGCGGCTAGTCGACGACCACGGCGTACTCGCGGTGCGGTTCAGCTGCCCGTCACAGTCCGCCAGGTCCGCCGTCTCGTCAGCGAACTGAACTGAACTGCGGCCGCTGCGCGCCGCGCGAGCGAGCGAGGAGGCTGGACCGCGCTACGCCGCGCGTGTGTGAACGGGCGGACGGACAGGCAGACAGACAGACAGGCGTGAGCGCGGCGCCACGCGCTGCGGTGGTTGCCTACGCCGTGCAGGGCTGCTTGCGGCACTGCCTACCCACTAGGCGCGTAGGTCCAGCTGTTTGCCTACCCTCGACTCGGCGGGCGCTGTGGCCACCTGATTCAACACTTTCAGCTTCGTTTTCAACTTTGACATAATTTATTGTGTTGGTGATTGACCACTTGAAGCGATAGAAAACTTTCTCCATCGTTTTTGAAACAGAGATGAAGGAAACAATAAAAAGAGGAAGTGTTTGAGACATGTTCATTTTAATTATTAGTAACACAGAACACAACCAAATTTCATTTAGGGCATAGAGGTTACAGAAACACAGCAAATACATTCACCAAGAAACATTTGTCAGAGACATAAGAACGTATAAGTCTTTAAATATTGGTTGTATAAATTGACAAGGATAGTGTTTACAGTATATTAATTTCTTATGTAACAGACAAATGCTCACATGCACCCCAGTCTCATGAGGCTCAATAATTAAGTCAAAACGTACAAAACAAAAACTAGAAAAGAAAATTACGTTTAAAACAAATTTCTTTGGATACAGTCATGTTATTGACATGGATGGCACGCAAGGATTTCAGAGCCAAATTCTTATGAGACCATTTAAGATACAGGATAAGAATATAATCCAACTCGTAAAAATCTGTCAGAACAGAAACCAAAACTTTGTAATTTTTCCCCATGCGGTACATAAAGAACCCAAACCTGAATCGCTCAGGTTAAAGGCAGTGAGAATAGGTTGAATCCTTGAAAATCTAAGTCAATACACTCTATCTGTATATTCATGCTTTCCTCTTCTTTACTGGTAATTATACACAAAACTAAATAAATTACTACAAATAGTTTAACTGGCATAAGTTGCCATCACACAAAACACATTGCACTAAGGACAAAACTTATTTTCAATCCCAGGACTGGATTGTTTCTTACATAAGGGGAGACATTAGGGCCATAATCTCAAACTAGGATACCATGCATTGCACAAATATCCTAGAAGGAACACTTTCCAACACAGAAAGAGAGAGAGAGCACCTTCACATATTTAGTAAGATATGAGCAAATGAAGAAATTCCATGGTTTGGTTTCGAACAAGATATGGGACAGAATGTAGACTACCTAGAACTCTAATTCACAGTGACGCAAACAGTACAATTGAATAGTTACACTCCAGCTAACACCAAAATTATGTAATAATACATAATTGTAGCTACAAGCTTACAAAAAAAACAACATGATATACCAACATGAGAGATGAGAAAGATACACATAAACATGTAAAAAAGATCTATTTCATCACATTACATTTGGCATTTTCCATCTCATATCATTAGTGTTAGTACCTCTAAGATCATAATCCAGATTGGTACTAGTTAACGTTCAACATGCCATGGATCAACCATGCTTCATATTCAATACAGTAGTTTTCTAGACATCAATTGTTATAAAGTATAAATTCAATATAGAAATAAAAACACAGTACGAGGTATACATTTTACTACAAACATCAACACACAGTGATAAAGTACTTCCATGGGGCTTATGAACAATGCCTCTTTTGATAGATTAATAATCTGCTTGTGATTTTTTTTTTCAAATACACAAATTGTTCTCTACAAGAGTTACAAATTCAAACACATGGAACAACAATATTATATAAGCTACCACAAAAGAGAGAATACCAGTATGTAGGTACAAAACTTACATCAACAATCACAAATAAAAAATAAATAAAAATATTGACAACAATTACAGGGGCCCTACCTTTGTCAACAACCAGCAAACTGAACACATGTGTACAAACGCGTGGAAGGTTCAAGGGGGGATCAAACTGACAAACAAACATATTCCTTACAGGAATTTCATTCACACTACTTGCAGTGAGACAGGTAAGTTTCAGCTTGGAACTATGGGAAACTTGCAAACATTGCATTAAGGCATAATAATCATCCACATATACTTTACAGAGACATTGTTAAGTGTAAATGAAAACAGGCTGGAAATGTCTAGTTACACCACAACAAGGACAAATATATTGCTAAATAATTCATAATGATTTAAAGAACAACTGTACATTCATTGTTTTAAGAAAAAAAAAACAACAAAAGAGATGATTACAGCATTATTTACGTTTTACAGCATATTTGCTTTCAGTGAACTCTCACAAACACCAACAACAACAGCCAACCATACATCAGACTGAGTATTAAACTACAGCTGCTATCACATCAAACTCATGGATCAGTCACTCGGCCAAAACAAGGTGTTAGTATTAAAAATGAGACTTTTACATTCCTTCCCGCTACCTGGTTTCGCTCCACATCAACACAATACTGCAGGCATAATAAGAATTCAAAATAATAATAAAAATAATGATAACAACAACAATTAACAGTGGGTTGGGAAGGCAATCAGCCTACTTCCAAAATTAAACAATTTTACAATTTGGGACATTGTCCCTACGAAAATCAGTTCCCCTGTCTACCCAATAACACATCAGTCAAATCCAGCAAATCTTAAATTTCTTGCACTACAGTAAAACCCTGCCTTTATGTTTTTGTTTCAATATAAGAACATTAAAAATACAACTTAACATACCCAAAATAGAAAACCTCCAAAACCATGTAATTGAAATTCATTATGTAATGATTAATTCAAAAGAATAATCAGTCTCAAAATTTGGAGCCTGAGTACCAGGCATGAGGTCCCAAATCTGACGCAGAGCAAGAGCTCAGCACTAAGACTTCAATTTCTGAATATAATCAACATAAAATCAAAAATTTCCTCAATAAACCTTCTAAGACATTCTATGTGTGCTTCAATTCAGTTTGGCAGTTAAAAATTCCTAAATGGCATGACTGAATTGAAATAAAATTTGAGCTTGTTAACACTATATTTGCTTCCAATGAAACATAAAATCAGGGTTCAACAGTAGTGTTTAGTTGCGTCACAGTTTAAGAGGGTGCGTTCTCGGTGCATGGAATCCATGCACTCTGATTGAGGGGCCTTGCTGCTCATCTACTGGTATGGCATCCACAGATGGAAGAGATGCTGTCTCATCTTGCTGTGAGATCTCTTGACCTGGACCAGGTGAGGCATCACCAGACTCAGTTAACGTTGTAGCTGGAATAATACCAGGTAAATCATTATCAGAATCGGTTAATTTTATGGCTGGAATGGTCTCAGGTGCAACATCTTCAGTATCAGTTAATGTTATAGCTGGAATGCACCCAGGAAGAACATCTTCGGAATCAGTAAATGTTATAACGGGAATGGTCCCAGGTAGAACATCTTCAGAATCAGTTAATGTGGCAGCTGGAATTATACCAGATAGAACATCATCAGAATCAGTTAATGTAATAGCTGGGATGATACAAGGCGGAACATCATTGGAATCAGTTAATATTGCAGCTGAAATGATACCAGGTAGGACATCGTCAGAATCAGTTAATGTAATAGATGGGATGGTACCAGGCAGAACATCATCAGAATCAGTTAATGTTATAGTTGGAATATTACTAGATAGAACATCATCAGAATCGGTTAATGTTATAGCTGGGATGATACCAGGTAGATCATCATCAGAATCAATCAATATTGTATCTGGAATGACACCAGGAAAAAGATCATCAGAATTCGTTAGTGTCGTAGCTTCATTCAGATGCAGAGGCACAGAAATAATGTCTTCAGTTTTTGAGATTTGGCTTGGATCCGATTCTGAGACAGTATCTAGAGTGATACGATCTTCATTTTGTACAAACGGCACATCAGCTGGGACTGTCGAAATAAGTGATTCATCCCTTAAATTTATCTCAGAAGGGTGCTCAAGATCTGCAGAATCTGGTGGCATCTGTGAATGAGGATCATCTTGTGGAACAGCACACGGTTCAGGCAAAGCCTGCACTATCGGCAATGTTTCCAATTCAGACTGGCCAGCAGATGATGATGGTGAGCATGGGTCACAAGTTTTGTGGTCAAGATATAGAGCATCGCTAACAGGAACTGAATCAGCTTCCTGTATCGGAGAGCAAACGATACTTTCGTCTGGAGATGAGTTCACTTCTACAGACTTATCCAGTAGTGCAGAACTTAGGTTTTCGTCACTTAATTGGCCATGAGATGTGACCTCAGGTCCACCAGATGGGGCCTGTTCGCTGTTTTCTAGTGGTTCAATGCACTTGTCCAGTTGTGGAGAATTGGAGTTTTCATCAATCAATTTGTCATTAGATGTGACAACTGGACTGTCAGAAGATGCATTTGAGCTGGATTCTAGTGGTTGAGGCTGGGAACCCTCGCACGGTACTAAACACAGTGTTTGTATTTCTCCTTGTCCTGAGCGAGGACTGGTGGACAGCGGTGACGAGAAGGGAGGCGTGGCAGAGCGTGGAGACGACGGCGCAGATGAAAGGGGAGGAGTACATGGCGGAGGGGTCACACAGGGAGGCGTCAGGAGAGGGGGAGACAGAGGTGGTGTTGGGGGCGGCGTTGGTGGAAGATCAAGATCCGCAACCTCTGGGCTGTCCAACAGCACCACAAGGGCTGGGCTGGACTCATCACTTCCCTCTTGTGAGAGTTGTGCAGATGGAGTGCTTGGGTGGTCGTCGCTAGGAGCGAGAGAGTCATGGCTTGGAGAACTGCTGTGACTGCCAGCATCAACCGGTACAGTCAATAAAATATCTGGAGGTCTGGGAAGAAGGTGGGCATTAGTTGCAGAAAATCCATCTTCTGTGGTTGCGGGTTCAAAATCAGCGGCTGGCTGTTCAACAACTTCAGCAGCATGTGCGTCCTCCAGGAGTTCTTCAACAACAGACTGTGTCTGAGATACAGAATCAGTGCCATCAGGGAAGGTAGGATCTTTGGCAAAATGACGAATATTATCCAAATTATCAATAGGTCCATCATTGTCAGGAGAAGCTTGTCCGTTTCTCTTTGGGCATTGCACTTCAAGAGCTACACAATCGTCAGAGGAGGCAGTTTTGTCTGTGTCCCCTTTATCAGAACACTCTGCTTCAGAAGCACCAAGAACTTCAACAAACAGTGAACCGACAGTGGGCTCCTTATTCGCTGGAACAACAGACTCATTATTAAAATGCACCAAAATGGAGTCCAACACTGAAGATTCAGTAGATCCAGATTCCAAACTGGTTACATTTTCTAGAGGCTGAACTTCAGATGCGTGTCCTAACTTGTTTTCATCAGCAACACACGGTTTATCAGAAGGATTTTCTGCGCAGGCAGTCTCTTGATGCAGTCCTGTTAGACGAGGAGCATTTGCCGCCAATCTCTGAGCCTCTGCACTGTGCCACTGTGATACTACAGTATTTCTATTGAAGTGTTGCGATTTATGTTCCATACCTTTGGCTGCTTTATTCCGGTAAGGATCACCTCTGGGTTTATCAAATTGAGATGCATTTTGTTCACTTTTACAGCCAACTATTCGGGCTTTTCCTGCGCCATTCCTGGTCTGGGAGTCTCTGGTACTCAATTGTGGCACACTATGAGGCATTTTACTAAATTGATTTAATTTAGAGTGATCTTGTTTTGATTCTTCAAAAGTCTGCTGATGAGGTTTAAATTGATGCCTTTCTTGGTTCTGACTGTAAAGTCTCTCATCCCTGGATTTTTTCTGGTAATGAATCGAAGTGTTTTTACCACTGGACGTAGAGGACTGCTGAAGATCCTGAGATCCCTGGTTCTGGTACTGATACATGTTCACTTCGGGATTTTTGGTATTCAGAAGCTGCTTGTCTTGGGAGCCCTGACTTCTATAATCAAGCAAGGGCAGATCAACTGCAGTTGTCTGAGAACGACTGTCCTGCGCTGTTGGGTTCTGATAATTGACCATTGATAAACCAGACGTGCGGTTTCGTTGATGGATTTGAGTTTCTTGAACGACCTGACTTTGATACGGGAAGACTGGAGCAGAGGGACGACTGTGGTGATGGATCCGTGTTTCTTGAGGCACTTGGCTTTGAAATTGGAACATCTGAGAGTCGCTGGCAAGTTGCACATCGACATCTATACCCCTATGAGTATAAAAAGGTGTATCAACTGAGCCAGGGTTTTGAATGGCAGGTTCCATTGATCTTTGGCTTTGGTGAAGCGGAAATGATGGTTCTGCCTGGTTCTGTTGATGATGAAATTGAGCATCAACAGCAGCTAGGTTCTGAAGATTGTAGTAGGCAGCATTGGTCTGGGTTTGACGTTGATAGTGGCTATCTCCTGCTTGGCTCTGATAACGGAAGAAATCACCATCCGACGCAGTTTGATTTTGAGAGAAGAAGTTGGAAGCCTGTTGGGCTCCGTTGTGGCCATGGTGAAATAGATGTGGAGTTATTCCTGGGAGTGGCTGATTTGGATGGTGAAACATGGCTGCATCTTGGTGTTGAAAAACGGGAGTTTCTCCACCAGACTGACTGGCATGATGATACATAGAAGCCTCAGAGGTTGCCTGGTTTGACTGGTGAAACATGGAGGCGTCAGCACGCCGTTGGTTTCGATACAAGCTTGCCTCCACTGTAGGGACACTTTGATGGTACATATGTCCTTCAGTCACTGGCTGAACAGGCTCACGAAACATTGGATTCTCAGAGGGGCGCTGGTTTTGGTGGTGATACAAAGGAGCGTCCATTGTTGGGCGGCCTTGATGGAACAGTGGTGGTTCCGACGCTGTCTGATTTGATGGGTGGAACACAGGTGCGTCTTGACGTTGGTACAGAGCAGACTCAGGAAGCTGATTTTGATGTTGGTACAAAAGAGCATCAACTTGCGGCTGATTTGAGTTGATTTGGTATGAAGATGGACCAGATGGCTGGAATGCAGATTGTTCTGGCGCTTGCGTCTGGTGACAAAACGGGAGTGCCTCAGCTGGTACATGGCTTTGTCGATACAAAGCTGCTCCAGCAGAAGAATGACTCTGCTGACGAAACATAGTAGAATCAAATTGATTGTGGTGCTGGTACATTGTCGGGTCTCCTGAAGCCTGAGGAAGGAAATGAGACACCGAGACTGGTGCATCCATAGATGTCTGGGTTAAATGATTGAAGTGATCATCTGTGTTTGACTGGTGCCGTTGGTAATAGCTGGAAGGCTCCGAATCCATTCCAAACTGATTAAAGTCACGACTTAAACCACCTTCTGGCTGTTGGAAAGTTGTCCTCCCCGCATCTCCTGACGCTTCATTTTGACGTAAAATCCTGTCATCCAGGCCGTACTTGGTGGGATAGGACAAAGGCACTGCAGGCTGGAATGATTGAAGCGACTGCATCTGCAAACTGGCCTCCAGTTTCTGACAAGATAATACTTGAGATGGGGCAGCCGTTTCACAGGTTCCCATCCACGACACGAGGGATTGTGAAGCAGCTTTGGTCGGCCTGTAGCCTGGAGGTGGATCACACGCACCAGGCCCTTCCTTGCTCTGGCTCGGCTGGCTCGGCTTCTGCACCGAGTCCGCTTCTGGAATGGCTGAGACGGGAATGTTGCCTGGGGCGGGTGCGCTCTGCTGCCTTCCTTGAGGGCCCTGTAGTTCCAGTTCCTCCTGTTCCAGGTGGTCCTGGTGGTCCTGCGGCTCAAGGGAGTCCTGCAGGCGCGGCGGACCGAGGGCCGACGGGGTCGTCGAGTCCTCGTCCGCGGGAGCGTCCTGTCACTTGCGCTGAGCGGGGGGGACGTACATGGACTGCGGTGCGCGGGCCGGGCGACGACTCTGTGCCTGGGCCTGCATCTGGCTCTCCATCGCCACATTGGGTGAAGGCGATGGCTTCACGTAAGCACGAGTACCACCCCTTCTGAATTCGACACTCCCTGCACACAAGAGCATAAATTACAGTCAATTGCATGCTTAAAGTTACAACATTTTTGTAATTTTGAATTTAAAAAAATAATTTTGAAATTGTAAATGTTTTTCTTTTATTCGCCTCCCTGCAGAATAAATGATGATTACCCACCTGAGAAAGGCATACCATTAGAGTCATATGGATTGTGAGGGTTCGGGGGGCCTGAGGACTTGATGGATTTGGATGGAGTTCCCGGGCTCATACAGTGAGCATCACCCAAGTTGAAGTAAATTTCAGCCGGCAAGGAGCTAGGGGAGCATCCATTATTGAGAGCATTTTTCAAAGGCTCTGAGAAGGGTGCCTATATTAAAGAGGGTCGGATTATGAGCATGTAATGTAGGCAGATAATAAGTTGACATTAATTTTTTTACTCACTTTTGTCACCGGTACAGTGTCTTGTTTCAAAACTTCTTCATGGTTACCATATTCAGTGAATCTGACAACTAGAGTGCGAGCTGCAATGCCCGTTACTACAGCATCATAATACTAGTGACAGAAAAAAAAGACAAAACAATGTCATTTTTTTTTTAATTTAAAAAGATAATTTTTGATTGGCCATGTAATGTAAAACCCCTTTAGCTTTACTCACCCTTTCATCCTCCCAGTATCTCGCTAAACAAGCATCTCCCAAGCTCCAGGACCAGAACACTCCGGGTCCATCAACATCACAAGGGGCACCAGGCATATTCCTGCCATTCTCAGAATTCCTTGAGCTGCCTGAATTTCTTGTGTTGCTTGAGTTGTTCACACCATTTGTGTTATTACTTGAATATCCCCCTGAAACAGGAAATTTTATTGGGAGTAACAAAATCCGTAAACCCGTTTCACCAAATTTAACTTTGTGCAAACTTACCATTTATAAGAGGATTAGAAAGGTTCATGTTATCCTTGAATGGGAAATCAGGTATTTTAGGGAAAGATTGATTGTTGAAAGCATTTCTAGACATTCCTGGAGGACCCATGGAGCCTTTAGAGCCATAAACATCCTGCAATAATAAATCAATGGTTCCAGATCAGTGACATTACTACCTTATGAATGTAAAAAGCAAGTCAATGGTAAAGTAAGTAAACATACATTATCATATGAGTTATTCCTGTAATCATTATTTTGTTTGTAATTAGAATGGTTAGGCTTGGGATTGTGAGGACCTTGATTTAGATTCCTTCCATTGTCATTTTGCCGGAGATGTGGCTGAGAACTTCTTTGGCTAAAAACAATTAATTAAATACAAATTAGTGAAGAAGGATTACATATCGTATGAGACATCATGGCAATAATCTAACAACAATAAATCTTACTTGTTGGCCCAAGATCCATTACTGTATGTTGGATCATCATCTGGGGTATTGTCACAGTCTATCAATGACATCATGTCAACTTTCCGGGCAAGAGAGGCTCCCCATTCTGAAGACTCATGACCAAGGCTCGAGTTTGTCGAAACAGCATTAGATGGTGTATGTCCAAGATACCTAGTGCTCTCATGTTGCAAGGGCGTCCTGGAAAAAAAATTAGATTTCCAACTTGAAAAAGGAAAAACACAGAAAGGAAATATGGTTGCGAGTAGATCTACATACTTTGGGTTTTGGAACCGTGGTGCCTTGAAATCTGGAGGTCCTTTCGCTTTACTGGGTGCCCTGCTATTAGCTGGTGCCTCTCTCTTGCCTTTGATTTCTGGTTGGTCTCTTCCACGGGGATTATCCTTCCTTTCCTTGAATCGGCTCTCGTCTCGCGGGTCTCTGGCTCTGTCTGGTCTTCCTCCTGGTCCAGCTGCCCCTCTCCCCCTTCCTCCACCCCTGCCACCGCGCTCCAGGCCTCCCCTCGGCTCCCTGTCCCTGTCCTGGAACTGGGAGCCTCGTCCGTCACGACCATTGGCGTAGCCACCGCGGCCCCCTCCTCTGCCCCTGTCTGAAGTTCCTCTGGATGAGGCTTGAAGCTTCTCCCTCTCTTCTAAAATTTTAACAAAAGATTGCAAACAAGTTATTTCAATGTCAGACACTATAAGTCAAACACTAAACCAGTTGCTTGAGACGTACCAAGGGGAAGCTTGTCTTCCAGGAAATCGAATAGGGACAGTCGGCCAGATGGTTTTGTTTGTGACGATGAACCAACTTCATCGTCGTGTCCACGGCTTTTGCCTCCCTCACGGCTGCTCCCCTTGCCCAGCCCTGGTCCTCGGGTGGATTCACGACCGCCCTCCCGCGGGTTTTCTCGGTTATTTCGGCTGTCTGAATCCTTATCAGACTTTCTATCAACAGGTTTGGGACCTTCAGTTTGACGCTGAAATCAAGTATGAAGAATTTAGACATGTGGTGATGTGCACAAACCACATAAAAGCAAAAGGAACAACTGAGGTGTACTCACCTGTAGTGATTTTAAGGCTCTGTCCACATTGTTACGATTCATTTTAAGGGCATGGTCAGCTTGTTCAATAGTGAAACCAAATTCAACAATTTGTTGGACATTGTGGTCCAACAGCTGCCTATTGCCACCTCCAAAAACTTTCTTAGCAACAGCCTTCCCCGCTTCAGCAATGGCATCTTTTCGCTGGGCTTCAAATTCTGGGTTGAGAGCTTCAACCGCTTGTTTATCCTTCTCCTGAAGTGATTTGAAATTTTTGTCAGCTGGATTAGATCTTACTATTTTTTGACCAAATGGAATCCAAGCAGGTGGACCGCCATCTTCACCCCAAGATCTTTTATGCTTGGCAAGAGACCGATTCAATTCCCATTTCTCGATCATGTGAGATACTCTTCCTCCTAAGATCTCAGCTCTACTGCCATTGATGAGAAGAAAATTGCTGCAAACAGGAATATTTTCTTCACCAGGTGAAGACTTAAGTAAGATCTTTGTGCCAGGGGGAGTGTTCAATGTCAGTGCTGGTATTCGCTCTATCTCCACTGCATGGCATGTTGAATGGCCATCGGTGAGGGTCACTTTCAGCATTCGGGGTGCAGCTTGAGACTCTTCATTGGCTTTGGGTGCCGATACGTTTCGTACCTTTTGAAGCTGCACAACTAGACCACCGGGAACCTGAAATTCAAGTTACAAATTAAAAAGCAAGTTGGGGGATTTAATGCAGGGGCTTAGCAAAACAATGTGCCACAAACTCACCCCTTCGACTTTGCAGCGACCCACTTCTTCAGGAAATCCAGGTGCTGCTACTTCTCGAAGATCAATCTGCAGATGTATAAAAAGAGAAGAATGTGAGAATAATTAAATTTATAGAAACATTTCAATTTTAAAAGATGACAAGAAAAACTTACATCGAGAGCCTTTTTTAAGATGATCTTGGTGTTGGTTATTTTACCGTCATCAGTTAGCTGCTTTAGGCCTTCATCAGAAAAATGCCTGAAAAGAAAAAGAAGAACAGTGATATTTTCAAATGATACAAAAATCTAAACATAGTGAGAAACTATGATGTCAATGAGATAAATATGAAATTAAGGCAAAGCAGACGAATGGGAAATGATGGCAAGAGATTAAAGAGACTTTTTTTTTTCTTTGAAACTTACAAAATGACAGGGAGTGAGAATGAATGACAATAACAAGAATAAAACCATCACCATTGTCAGGAAACATTCCGAGAGGGACGAAAATACCTTACAAATGTACAGTGATGTCACGTCGACCTTTGGCATACATTATTCAAAAATTACTTGCTCGGCAAAATCAAAATAAATTTTTGACGGCTAGGCACCATAGGTTAATAGGTTCGATCTGTCATTTCTGCACAGCAGTTGACACTGACCTAACGCTCGATTACGAAGCAACACTCCATGATGCAAAGGTAACTCTAAACACCATTAAACTATGAGATGATAAAACATTAAAAATTTCACAAACCATCCTTCTTTCTGAAGTTGTTCTCGCAAATCAGCCATCTTCGCAGTGAAAAGATAGCCAGCAGAAACCTTCTTGAAAACAACCTTATCGATTCACGCCTAGAGTTTATGGAGGGTGTGCGTGTGCCGCAGTGAAGGACAATTTATCCTTTGTAAACAATGATCGCCAGAAAGGATCAAGACTTAGTCATAAGTCGGAATACAGCATTTTCAGAATTTGCAGGCAAAAGCTTAGCTTCTGCCCCGAAAAACGTCTCACAACATGCACACGCCTTCTGCAATCGCTCCGATCCAAACTTGCAACCCGGGAAACGAGTGGAGAAGAACCGGATGTCTGCACTGGAGCGGAGCGGGATGGTTCAAATGCTGCGGTGATAGTCCGGGCGCATTCGGCTGCTAGTTTTGACTAGTTTTGACGTTGCTTTTCTAAAACGCATCAAAATTCGTGGAGTGGTGAATGACAATCGGCACATCATGGAATATGGGAATGAGAAGAGGATTCCCATTGACCCAAAAAAAAAGGGGCCCCGGCCCCCCCCCCCCCGGGGGTTTTTCCCCCCCCCCCCCCCCCCCCCCCCCCCCCCCCCCGGGCCCCTTTTTTTTTTTCCCCAAAAATTTTTAAACCCCCCCCCCTTTTTTTGGAAAAAGAAAAAAAAGGGGGGGGTTTTTTTTTGGAAACCCTTTTTAAAAAAAAAAATTTTTTTTTTGGGGGGGGGGGGGTTTTCAAAACCCCCGGGTTTTAAAACCCCCAAAAAAAAAGGAAACCAAATTTTAAAAAAAATTTTTTTTTTCCCCCTTTTTTTTTAAAAAAAGGGGGCCCCCCGGCGGAAAAAAAAATTTTTTTCCCAATTTTTTTTCCCCCCTTTTTTTTTCCCCCGGGGTTTTGGGTTTTTTTTAAAAAAAAAAATGTTTTTCCAAAAAAAATCAAACTTTTTCCCCAAAAAAACCCCCTTTATTTGGGTTTTTTTTTTTTTCTTTGGAAAATTTTAAAAAAGGGGGGGGGCTTTTTCCCTTTTTTTGGGGGAAAAAAATTTTTTTTTCCTTAAAATTTTTCCAAAAATTTTTTTCCCCCCGGGGGGGGAAAAAAGGGGGAAAAAAAAAGGGGGGGGGGGGGGGGGCCCCTTTTTTTCCCCGGGGGAAAAAATTTTTTTCCCCCCCCCCTTTCCCCTTTTTTTTTTTAAAAATTTTTTTGGGTTTTTTCAAAGGGGAACCCCCCCTTTTTTTTAAAAAAAATTTTTTTTTTTTTAAAAAAATTTTTTTTAAAAAAAGGGTTTTTTTTTTTTTTAAAAAAAAAAAAAACCCCATTAAAAAAAGGGGGGAAAAAAAAAAAAAAAAAATTTTTTTTGAAAAATTTTTTTCCAAAA